CTTACACCCGTATACATACGTATGATGTGTTATTCTCACTTGGACGGAACGCGAAACGGGACCGAGAAAAGAGTGTACACAGGTGACCTTGAACGCTACGTCTACGGCCTTGACTCTCTCTCTCTCTCTCTCTCGAGAGCACACATAACTTTTACGAGGGGCACTACACGTGTTTTGCACGCCGCGGCGGATAATGTTGACATACGCGTGCACACAGCCGCGTAATCGTGGTTGCTCGTGTGCTGGTGATGATGCGTGTGCGCCGACAAGTATAGGTATATACATTTTGCTGAAAGAGACAAGTATCGGTAAGTAGTTTTTTTTTTTCAATATCTATACTTTTCATCACTTGAGCTTTGAAAAAAGTTTCCAAGTGATACCTACTGGGCCATTTGGCCGATATGCAGGGTGAACATATTAAGAGCTATTGAGCCGATTCATTGTAGGTGTTGAAATAAAACCCGAGACGTGACATCGACGATAAATATGGGATACTATTATGATTACATCGGGATTGTAACAATTATGATTTCAGACAATGCCACGATTTCATGTTGTTTCAAATGTGATCGATCTCGCGATATGGGCCATCGCGATACCCCCAAGGAAAAGCTCGAAGCATACACTAGAGCGGCAAGATTCGAATATGGATTTGTCAGTGTTTTGTTTGACGCGTAAAATCGACACGTGGCAATGGTGACTCTCGTGTGTGTATATATATAGTATGCGCGTGCACAGAGTCTCAGACCTCGACACTGACTGTGTAAGTACTGACTCTGAAAATAAGTTGTTCGACAAAGAGTGGGATTGGTACGGGTAATAGTGATCTCGCAATCACCGTACACTTTGTATTGTTCTCTCGAACAAAGTTACGTTGCTCGGTTTCCGGCGCGAGGACGCTTTTTTCGAAGAGCCTTGCGCTCCGCTCGTTCGCGTCCTCATGTTTTATTTATTTATTTTTTTTTTTTATCTTTTAATGAATGAGTACGCGCATGTGCGTTCTTTTTGCAGTACTTTACTTGCCCTAGTGACACACCACACGTTGTACACGACGTACACGTGTACAGGGGTCGCGTTAAGTTTACACGCAACGGTGTTTTTTTCGAGGCTCCGACCTTACTTGGAAACGGATCGACCAGAAATACAACAGCTGGCGTTGAAGTCACTCCGCGCGGACAAAATAGATTTTCTGCGTCCGTGTATACCATTTACGTGAGTTTGCGCTCGCGTTACGAAACGAGCGTCCCTGTGCGGCAGGTTTAACGGGTCGATGGATGATTAGTGCAACGCGTTCTATCCGCGATTGCTGTTTTAGTTTGACTTTGATTTCGCAGTTGCGTAACTTACTTGATCGAAAAATGTAAAATTTAGAAAATATAAGCTCAACAGGAGTGACTACGTTTGGAGAAAAAGAATCTTAGATGCTGTTAAGCGGTTCAAATTTATTTTCGTCCATATTTTTTTTAAGAGTATACGTACAAATCGATCAGTTGATACAAAAAAAAGGAAAAAAATAAATAACGTTACATACACGTACGTGAATAAAACACAATTGTCTTTTTTCTTTCTATGAAACTAAAACGTGTCAGTTTCATGAAAAAAAAAAAAAAAACTGTCTTCGTTGTCGGTATTTTTCGTACAACGTCCGGATTTAATGCGACCCAATTGACGAGAGGGAAATTTTCAAGTTAATATTAGCGAAACAATTGTATTTCAAATACAAATGAAGCCTTAAAAAGTTGGCCAATCACTCCGAGCAGTTGGCTTGACTTAACGTCCAAATGTTGCATTGTTATCCTCTTCGCGTGCTATAGAATGAAAAAAAAAAGGGGGAGTAAGAAAAGATGGACCCGATAAACACTTGGGCAAACTCTCTCGTATGTATATAAATGTTACCCACATGTATACGTGCACACACGAGCAGGCGTGTGTCAAAGCGTTCGCTTTCTCGCGCGCCCATCATCGAAACCGGGTCAGTCGCACTAGCGCAGGGAGAAAGTGAGAGTTTGTTACATACGTACACTCAACATACGTAGGTACACTCGTGTAAAAATGAAAGGAGGAAGAGATGCAAAAAGTTCATCCAATGGATTGCTGCATTTCACGTTGTTGGTTATACCGCTTTTTAAATACATGTACCTATATATATACTTACACACGCGACATGTTCTTTGTGGTTTTTTATTCGGAGGATAACAGGACAAAAAAAATACATGTTGCGGTGGTTTCTCTCTTGAATTGTTGGTACTTTTTTTTTTTGGCAAACACGTGCATTGAAATTCTGCAGATGCTGATACTATAGCACTCAACCCGATCCAACAAAAGGAGCTCCGATTTCACCTTTGGCTTTAGCGTCCATTAATTTCCATGCCACTTGACGTATTTCGATCACATTAGGATACCCAGATTTATATATATTTTTTGTTAAATTACAATTATCGAGATTATTGGGAAATAAGATACGAGACTCGTACGAGTACACGCAAGAAGCTTATTTCATCGAGACTTTCGATCACTCGACGAAACGAGGATACATTGATGCACCAAGAGACAACAAAACGCGTTACTTATGTATGTTTCAAATTTCAACAAAAGGTTTGCAGTACATTTATATACAAAGTACAAACTACAGACACATTTAATTTCCAAGCCGGCCTACATATACACTTGAGTAAAACACGTGACGAAAAGAAAGCCGCATGACTTTGCAGAGCAGGGCGCGCGTCTTACCTGTTATACGGTATGGAAAATTTGGACCCTCCAATCTCACTCCGTATACCAAATTACATTCACTTGTATACAAGAGGAGAGCGAGCCTGGAGACCCAGAAAACGCTACACAGGCAAGTTTCGTCCTTTTCCCTCGTACATTACGCTCTTACACCTATACCTACATTCGTTCGAAGCTGGCAAATTTATGTAGGTACACACGCGAGCACACAGAGATGTGAATCTCTTTTTTTTTTTTTTTTTTACTCGGAGGCTTATCGTGGGCGTCCGCGACCCGTTAACCCACTTGTCGGGCCGATCTTCTCTTTCTCCTCTCTCTCTCGGTTTGCCCCGATGTATATATATATATACAGGCAGTGTATATATATATATATTTATATTTTGACATTGCATCGGAGACGTACATACAGGGGGACCCCGATGAGTTCGCCTACTTCCGAACGGATCGCTCGCTGCTTTCTTCTCCCCTCTCTCGATCTCTACCGGTTTCACATTTTTCGGATCTCACTTTCGGTTTGCTTTTATTCTTTTATTCTTTTTTTTTTTTTTTAATTTACACGCAGTGATTAATCGATAATTACGTACCGCGACGTAAAATGTACAAAGTGACATTGTAAACCCGACGGGTGGAGCGAGTGGGAGTAGCAGGAGCCGATGACCGCGCTCCCTCTCTCTGACTTCCTCGATTGGCCGGTGAACGGTGAAAGTGTTTTATCCACCCTTTCCTTCGGTATACCTATACTCACGTGTGTGTTTTTTGTCTTTCAAGTTTATTTACTTTGCAGAGGTAAGCGCTACACGCGTTGACTCGTCTTGCTCATTAAACCCACAGGGCGAGTGCGAATCATCAGAAAAATACAAAGAAATTTAATTTGTTTTTGTTTTTTTTTTAATAACATTTTACAACAAGAAAACAGAAATGCATTGTCGATTTTATCGAATTGCTCGTATAATTGTTTGTTGCCGGTTTTTCATTACCTTTTGACCAACGGGTCTTAGTTGACTAAGAACGTTTTGACGGACGTCTGTGATTAATAAGTCCTTTTAAATACAATGTAACCAGTAGGTAACTTTAACTCGGATCGGACAACAATTCAGAGATCATCGCTTTACAAATATACCCGAGTTTTGATTAGCTGCGACGAGTTATTTAGTTTTTGGACAAAACATCATTTAATTGTGTCTTCAAAGTATTACAACTCAAAGAAAAATAATGGTCAAAATCTTTTAAAGTCAGACGATTTAAGATTAAGCATATAGTAGTGTTGTTTGTAATATTGTTAATTAATATTAATTTCCACCTATGATAGTAAACATCATTTATGTCTTCCGAAATTTATCTTCTTCTCTTCCTGCGTAAACTCATGATTTTATTTACTTTCATTTTCTAAACACAAAAAAAATTTAGCCAAAATGTGACATCTGAACTGTTAAAGTACGCAACACTACATTTAAAAAAAATATTTCTTAACAGCACAGTAAAAACTAGTCTGTCTTCACAAATAGTGATGTTGACGGTTTTGAGATATATTTTTAGTCTTATGCATTCAATACCCTGCACAGCACGACGCAATATACATTTTCACTTATATATATATATACACGTTCATACGTATGACAATAATATTAAAAACTCACTTGGTGTCAATAAAATAACAATCATTACAATACGGAATGTTAATCTATTCTATTATCAATACTTCATGTACAAACATATACACGCTTGAATCACGATGAAGTGGGAAAACTGCAAAGATTACACGATTATTCGGTATATTTTATTTAACATTGTCACTTGGAACTACAGATATAATCAAATAACTAACTACGTTATGATTTATTCGACATAAATTGACAATATTTAAAAAACGTGTAATCAAAGTCAGTCCACAAAGGATTTCAAAGTCGATAATACATGTACACACGTGACGCATTTCGTCTCTCAAACAATAACATCGAAGTAAAAAAACTTAACCCGATGTTTTATTTTTTTTTTTATTTTTTTTTATTAGACTATATGGTAAACATGAGGCAAATATATTCACGGAATTTCACTGCGCTTTGTACAAACGTGACGTTATCGGTGCTCCAGTATATAATACCACTCCCTATATACAAGAGGAAAAATTATGAATTCCTTTGACGCAAATGCTCTCAAAATAATAAGGAAACACTCTAAATCACTTATAATACCCTACTTAAAATTACTCTTCGATAAAAAAAAAAAAAAAAAAAAAAAAAAAAAAAAAAAAAAGAACAAAATTTTGCCACGTAAAATCATTTAATGCCAGTACTCTCAACATGATAAATTTAATATTTACAAGTCTCCAACGGGTTCGACGTACTATCCCAGTGTCGATTGCATGAAAAAAAAAAAAATATATAAATAAATTACAAGTCACTCGAACAATCGCTCGAATCGCGTTCCGCTTCCACCCTCTACTTTCCAGTCAGAGCGTCCTGTATCTCCTGAAAAGTCTTTCCCCTGGTCTCCGGCAGGACGAAAAGCGCGTAGGGCACGGCCGCGAAGCCGAAGAGCGCGTGTATCCAGAAGACGTAGGCCTCCCCGACCCGGTCGACCATAGGCTGGTAGGCCTTGGTAACCACGAACGAGAAAAACGGGGCGGACAGGGTGGCGACGAGGGCGGCCACGCTCTTGGCGTTGTCGGCAAAGAGCTCGCTGAGCACGGTGCTCGGCACCGGCGAGAACCCAACCGCGTAGGTCACCAAGTACCCGAGTATACTGACAACCGGCAGCCACTGGAGACCCTCGGGATCGAAGCCGGCGCCCAGCAGGTAAAAGTGCAGGCCCAGACCCCCCATGGCCACAAACGTCCCGATCCCCGACACCACGAGCAACACCCTCCTACCAAGGACGTCTATCAGCTTGAAGGTCAGCAGGGTCGACAGCACGCTCGTCACGTTGGCGTAGATGACGAACCGCTCGGGCTCGACCAGCCGTGACCGCGCCTTCCTCAGGATGACCTCCATGTACGACGAGAGGTTCATGGTCCCGCTCACGTGTGGCAGCGCGAACAACGTCACGATCACGAAAAAGGACCATCTGACGGCCGGTGCGTTCAAATCCCGCAGTTTGGTGCGGAAGCTCCCCCCGACCGCGTGGCACTCGACGAAAGCCCCGATCTCCAGCACCTCCTTGTCCACGTCGCACCCGGGACGGTAGAAGACGACCGAGGCACGCGCCCTCTCGGCCAGGCCCTTCCTCGTCAGGTAGTACGGGGTGTCCTGGAGCCAAAGCATCAGCAGCAGGGCCATGAGACACAGGACGAGGTACATGGAGCTCGAGGCGCGTCTCGGCAAGTAAGTCTCGGCCACGGTGCCCACGACAATGCCAAAGGGGTTGCCGCCCGCGGCCACGGACACAAGGGTGCCCCGGATCTTGGGATCCGCTATTTCGCCTAGGTAGATGGAGAAGCAGCTGTAGCTAGCCGACAGGACGAGACCGGTGAGGCCGCGCGCCACGTACAGCCAAGCCACCGAGTTGGCCGCCATCATGCACACCCAGCTGGCGGACATGACGGTGAAAGCGGCCAGGATGACTCGGCGACTGCCCAAAAATTCGACTCCCAGGGCGCTCGCGACAGCTCCCAGGATGCCCACTAGGGGTGCTATGGACACCATCCAGGATACTTGGTCGGTGTCCAGTGGTATGTCCGAGTCCTCGTCCATCAGTTTGGCGATGTTTGGCGCTACCCACCCGATGCAGATGCCAACTTGCGTCATCAGCACGAAAACTGTGGGGAGGTTTTTTTTTTCATTGGTCAATTAATCGGTACAATTTCATTTTATTAGGTATATAAACAAAAGTTGCACTTACCCGCAAACGTTGCGATCCAGTGGATCCACGAGTCGAGGACAATGAGGTACCGCATGATGGTGTCTTTTTTTTTTTTTTTTTTTTTACTTGCTGCTGTACCCCCGAACACGAGTCGATTGAGAATAACAGTTTCTCACCAAGTTACAGTAGCACTACATCACCGGCATCGTCAACGCGATAAGATTATCGGCACTTATTCAATCTTTGTCGGGATTATTTTTTTTCTATACCGATGCAATCAGCACCTATTATCAGGATGTTTTTTATTTATTTTCTATACGCAACTTACACAAAGACACGCGTAGATCCGTTATTTCACGTAAGAGTGCACGTTCGAAATCGGAGCTCGGAAGTATCGAGCGGCAGTGCCTCTTACGGCAAACCGAACGCCGATACTGAACAATACCGATTTAATCCTCATTCGTGGTGTTTTCCTCGTGCTCCATTATCTTTTCTCGGCTGTTGATATTTCCCTGCCTCTCGCCTCATTGAATACATGCTACTCTCGCGTGCGTACACACATCTCAAGGTGCACATGCCGAAAGTACATGTCACTCGCTCAGTTACCGCTTTACGTGGCAGCACTGCCGTTTTCGCGTACATGTGTATGAGAGTACAACCGCGTCGTGACTATTTTTTTTTTTTTTTTCCCTCGGTGCAAGTCGAGCGTTAATGTACCGCGCATCGCATAAATAACTTCCTCGTTCTTTCCACTCCGACAATAATAATCATTATTTGCATTTGCTTTCAATTCCATTTGACGTTGCACATATTATATTTTCGTTCGATAAACGATCGTACACCTGAAATAAGTTTCCGATGGGAAAATAAAAGAATATAATCATGTCCAAACGCGGTAATGAAAACACACCTTGTGTCCTTAGCTCTGTACAAGTCATCGAGGGTCCACCACGGGATGTATAAGTATACCCTCCCAAAAAGACCAAGATCCCATCTTTCGTTCGTTTCGATCGATCTTCCCGTCATTGAAAATCGCGATAAATAATCTCATTACGACGTTATCCAAGTATAGTTACGAACCAATCACCACATGTACATACAACTCAAAGTTATCATAATCATCATTACCGTGATCGGCGACTCTGACATTGAACGATTCTCTTCTTTTTTTTTTTGCTACCCAAATAACCCTGTCACGCGCGAACAAGTCTCCAAGAGCAAAGAGGATTAGGTAGCTAGGAAAAAAAGGCCTCCTAGTTCGCGAAGGGGAGCCTTGTGGCGCGTTGTTTTTTTTTTTTTTTTTTTGGGTCACGAAGGCACGGCGTATACCGGCCGTGACACGATACGTACACATAAACGGTCACACACGCAGGGCCTAATGATGCTTGTGTCGTACATACAACGCGTGTAAGTATGTGCATCTTCATGGTGATTATGCGAAATGCACAGGCGGGAGGCCGGGCGCTTGATGCGCGACACCGGGAGGATATGTGTTTATGTACCAAGTTACGCCCGTCCGAAGGCTTTAGCGCGGCCATCGATTGTGTATAATCTACGTATACCATTCGAATGTATGTTTGCATATACCGTTGTTAATCGTGTGGAGCCTTTGGGGTAATATGAAAACAACTACCATCGTCAACGATGTGACCGGTAACGAATCGCGTACACAGTGTACGAGTGGTGTGATTTTTGGGGCTAACACATATGTATATTACCGAGTACAGCTTCGATCAAAGAACAGCGTGTAGCGATTTCTCGTTGTACAAGGTGAATTATGAACTAAAGAGAGGAAGAAGACAGAAAAAAAAAAAAAAAAATTACCAACAACAATAGCAACGATAAAAGGTCCAATTGGTATTGCAGAAGGACGGGTTGCGTAAAGGCGACACGAGACCTCGCGGGAGATTCCGAGATATATAATACACGCGTAATACGTCGGGTGTGCGCGGGTGCGTGTGGCGCTTGGATTGAATAAGACACACGCGCGTGCTAAGCTCGATGGACTTCAATGTAAACGCAACGGCGAGACCTCAATATGCAGGCTTAATCGCATTAACGTGTGAACACTCGCTGGTATATAAACATATACATACCGTTGGGGAAACAACAATCATCAGTGTTGTTCTCGTGATGATAAAACAACACGTCGCTCAATGACGGCGAGAGCGCGGAAACGAAATTTGGTTATCGAGAGTCTTGGTGTGTATTGTCTTTTTCACGATGATTGTGTCGCGCGATCGGGCATCTATATGTTCAAGGCCGCCGATCTTCCGTCACGGACGCAGTTAAACTGCAAGAGGCGTTTCGAGGATATACATATACATGATAAAACAAAAGTCGAGGCGATCTCGTTTGTCCTTATATACGTATATATACATACAGAGAAACGGCGTTTTATTGCGCTCGCGTGCCCGAAACTCGTCAATGTATAACGGTCCTCGGCCCCCGTCGTATCGTGTATACCCGACAACTTTTACAGCTCGGTGCTGGGTTGACGCGTGCGATCCTTCGAGGGCCTCATAACTTGGGAAAATTCCTCGTCCTTTCTTTCCACTCGCGCAGCGGTACCGTGTACGCGTCGAGAGCACGTGGTGTGCAAGATGGGGGGGGGGGGGCTGTAAAGCGCGCGGCGAAAATATGCGCTTTTTACTGCCCCGTATACTCCGGGGTAGAGGGAGAATAGGAGGGCCCTTGAGGCGTTATGCATGGCGCACTCACTCGTGCGAGTCTCGTGCCGATTTTTTCGCTCCGCTGCAAGGTCGAAGCGTCGTCGATCGAGCCGAAAACCTCACGGCAAGGGAACAAGGTATAGGTGTGTGCTCTGGGGTTGGATTTTGCATGGATTTTCGTTTCGAAGGCTATACCGATCTATCGCGTCGCCTTGAAGATCGGAAAGTCAACTCGACCGGCATTGAAGGATCCACGGGTCGACATCTCTCGCTTTTGTACACGTATATATTGTACGTACGGTTGCATATGTGTATATATACATCCGGGGCCGGGTTTGCGACACAGTCAGGGCGCCGCTGGTGGAGTTTCAAGGGGCCTATACATGTAGCGCTCCCGATCGCGCGGCAGATGTATCCTTTCGAAATAGAAAGCGCGCCCCGATACGTGTGTGTATACATGTACCCACAACGTGAGTTGCGAAAGCAGGTACATGTATAATATACACAGTGTATGTGTATAGCCTCCCGAGTTTAAGAGTCTCTGTGTGTGTGGTGTGTGTGTGTGTGTGTGTGTGTGAACATAGTACCGGGTGTCGAAAGGAATAAGGCTGCAAAGGTGGTCCATCCAAAATTATGTGTATTTATGTGTGTCAAAATAATGATGATGGTATGCGTTTAAGAGTGGCGATGTGGTGGAATGTGTACTATTGCGAGACGATTTTTTTTTTTATACTCCCCTGAGTAGGTGTATAACGATTGGCTTGTGTGTGTATGTGAACGATGATGATGACGGTTTTTGGAAGGAAAGAGTCGAGTGAAAGTGACGTGAGCAAACCCTTCGTGTATCAACGGTTTTTGGGATGTACGCGCGATAACAGGTGCGACATTTTCATTACGATAACAGTGTTAGATCGGTATCTTTTTTACCAAGGGTATTGAGAATGAGTTTATTTATTGTAATTCATCACAAGAGTTTAAAATTACCATATTTCCCTGCACTATTGATGTTTAATCGATGTCGCGTCGATCACCTCCCGGGACGCGTCTCCCGGAAAAAGTATCGGCAACTTTACCGATATTTCTCGCGAGCGCTCGATCTCATGCTCCTCGTTCCCTCTGGGCCCAATTCGGAAGCACGAAAAAAAAACGCGCCCAGCCAACAAAAGCAACCTACACACCTATACGCGAGAGAACCCAAAAACCCAAAAAGCGAGAAGAAAGAAAGGCAGACGGACATATCACTCGAGGCATCGTTTTCCAACGGCATAGTACGCTCGTCCGAGCCTATGACCCACTGACCCCGTTACCCTCTTCCCTTTGTCCTCTTCCTGGAGCACCCCCCCCCCCTAAAATCGGTGAAAAACATCCATTATTATCATCATTGTTGAACGCAGGTATATTCGGGGCCAACACACGCACCTACGCTCTCTCGTGTCACGCACAATGAGAACGCGGCCCGTTCCTGCGTCGTTTGTGTATACGGCCCCGGGGGAAAGTGTTCCAATTACAAACGAGACCGGCACAGAGAAAGCGAAAGCCTTCCGGTGATCGCACGGAAATCGAACCGTCGCCAGTGTACGGTTTGTTATTTGGGATTCTGCAGTACATAATATACATCGTGTACTTGCTTTGTCCTTTGTCATGCATTGGTACATTGTATTATCAATTTTAATTACAGCAGCTTTATGGAATAATGGAAAACGAATAATGGAGAGATATCTTATTACCTTGTTTTTTTTTTTTTTTTTTTTTTTTCTATTGGTATTTGTGCAGGTCAATTGTATACACCTTGGCAACTATTGTACTTCTAGTGTAATATTAAACATATTGTGTAAGACTAATGAACACCAAAATCAACGGATACGGTATCTCCAGCCATCGCAACGAAAAAAGGAACAAATTTTTGTATCTTCGTGATCCTTCGCGTGTATGCACGCGCTATTTATTTTACTCGCTGCATGTGTTTCCTTTCCCCCGCGACGAGAGCGTGTAATTTTTTAAAATTTTTTTTATTTTTCATTTGTGACTCCCCAACTCGTTGTTTATTACCGTAAGCGCGTACACAATGAGAGATTACAGTGCACGGTTTTGCGGGATTTCATTGAGGGGGGGGGGGGGGGGGGGAAACAGAAAAGAAACGTGCGCAAGTACACGATCACTCGCGCTATTGTGATGCGGAACGAGCGAGAGAAACAATGTGGGTGTAACCCGTGTTTCCGAAAAATGGTATATCCAACGAAGGCTTTGTCGGACAACTGCACCGGAGAGCTTCGAGTTTTATAGGCCTCAAACACCGAAGGACATTATTCATTGATATATATACGAGTAAGCCAGTGGACGTTACGTTTGTTGTGAAATGTTAGCGATACCGAGGAAAGTGTGTACGCGCCAGCTCTTTGCGAGATGAGTATACGGATGATCCAAGTGGGGTAAGTAAACGAGCCAAAAGAGCGGATCGATGTACGGCAGCCTCAGGCAATATTGTGAAGCTCTAATGTAAGTAGACGTGCGTGCGTGTGTGTGGCGTATAGACTACTTGGGCGCAGCAGAGCGAAAGTGGAACACGGCCATTGGCCCGTCGACCCGCTGACCCACATTACAACCATCACGACGACGCGCTTCGGGGCAGACGGCCTCAACGAAAGTGAAAAGATCGGCTCGCCTTGTACACGTACATGTATATATATATATATATATATATATATATATATATATACGCTTGCCTCGCCTCAACCTGCCTCGT